TGGAGTATATTTCAATATTTGTTGTAAGAATGGTTATTCATAGGACAATTCTGAAATCACCAATGCCGTCTCTGGCAGGAATTGTCAAATATAAAAAATACATCTTACTTTCAGCTATGAAACACTATGTGTTCTAGATTAAAAGGAAGAGGGAAAAGTCAACAATAAAAAATAAGCAGATTTTTAATTTCTTTCCATTGTATTTAATTTATGCCTCTGATGGCAGACATTAGTTAAATTTAACTTTTCTTGGAGGCACAATTAGTTCTTGTGGTTACAAATTTCATTTAAGCTTTATTTCTGGAAATTTAATCCTAACTTTGTTCCTCGCTGGTCTAGTAATGGGTAGAAAGAGTTGCTGTAAGTTCATTAATAAGTTGTTACCATAAATGAAGGATAGGTATTAGAAAAATATATTAAAAAACCCCAAAATACAGGTTAACTTCATGTAATAGTCTTTGCCTCTTATTAATACTTGTGTTCTTTCGTTGAAAGATGGATCTTTAAATAAAATTAAATGCCTGCACATGCCTTGAACATTCAAATGAGTTATTCTTCAGGACATGATGTGTGTTAGTGTTACTCAGAACTGCGCTGATTTAAGATATCTTAGGATCTTAACCATAACTATTAAAGCTGTTCATGTGGATTGAGGAACAGATCCAACATTGATCTTTGATTTGAGGTATGTGATATGTGATGGAAATTCTTTCTGGCTTGCTTGCCCAGTATAGATGCAGGATTTAGATCTTAGCTTATCACGTTTTCTGTGGAGTTCTGTGCTTTGAGCTCCCATAGTGTGAGATTTAATGTTATTATGGATAACACCCCCCACCCCTGCTCTTTGACAAATGAGATTATTCATAATTTAATCTTTGTGCATTTCAACTTTGATTATCTGTTTAAAGATCAGTGGTCTATAGTTCTTCATAAAAGATGTTTTGGCTGTTTTCTTTCCTATGTATTCCTTCTCAGTCAGTGTGTATAGAAATATGTGGACCAAAGGGATTTTATAGACAAAGCTCCAGGCAATGGAGACTTGCTTTCTAGTAAAGTTCAGAGTAAATTACAAGCTGCATGTAAATTCAACAAATGTTAGTGGTTAATTAACTAAGAATGTAGAGCCCTAAGGCCACAGCATTAGTATTTATAGTTTTAAAGTAAGATGCTCTAAACAAGTTGTCTGAGCTATAAACCATTTAAAAAGCACAATTACTTTATGGCTTAAATACAAGGGAATGCTTCCTGGAAGAATATATTTTTAAACTCACAGCAGTACGTACTTGGAGGATTAATACCAAAGTTTAGCATGATCAAATTGTCTGACTAGCTTACATGTTTTTATTTATAATTCATATGACATGATTTAGTTCAGCTCTTTAAGGTGACCCTAATTCTCTTCCAAATTACTACAGCCTTTTTGCACCTTTTATACACTTGGGAGCAAAGTTTTACAACCAGTAAGTATCATGTGCTGCTTAAGTTCAGCAGAGTTTGACTTCTGTCAATGTAACTTGACTTTTTACATCTATTAATGATTGTGGTATATTGATTTATACTTCTACTGTTACATATTTTGTGGTATCACCATAATTCCAGTAGAAATGAAATTAAAGGTGCAGTAAAAAGTGTTGCATATATATATTTTTTTTTTAATATAGGATATAAAAGATCCTATCTAAAGAATTAAAATACTTGTGCTAATTTTCTGTGGGCTTTGGTGAAATTTATGTCTCAAAACTTCAGCTCTAGGACACAAAAGGAAGACGGGTAACAATTAATTTGATGGTTTATCTGCCTTTATAAATATTTAAAATCAATAGTTTCTTTTTGCATATTTTTTATCAAACACATAATGTCTTTGTTTTGCTGTAGTAGTAAGTTAAATGAGATTTTATATAGCTTAAGAGAAACAGAAAACGAGTCAGAATAGAACAGGCATTAATGGAAAAGTTAAGACTGAAAAAAAAAATTGACGCCTTCCTGTTTCAGGAAACCTTTTTGTATAACAGCTTATTTAATGCCAAACTAAATCAAAGTTAGACAAATGAAAAGCCACCTAAGAAGAAAGTGAAATTACAAATTTCACTTCTAACAGTACTATCAAGATCTGCTTTGCTTTCATGCTTTAGTATTTTACAGTTGGGTTTTTTTTTTTAAAGGTAACTTAATTCATACCTTGTTTTTCTTTCTAAACACCTGTGTCTGACTGTTAAGTGAGAAGCAGTGAATGTTTACACATGATCGTAACAACATCTAATTACTATTGGAGTCCCTTTATACTATTAACTTCTGTCATTTACATTGTAGCTGTAAAACCAGATCCAATTCCATGTAAACGGGTAGTATTTATTTTTTTAAAGATAATGGTAAATATGACGTTATTTGCCTTTCAGGGAATGATATTGCTCCATAAGAGTCAGTGTTACGGTTTTCAACTTTGTGTCTAGTAAGGATGAGGGTGATGCTACATCTTGCGTTTCAAAAACCAATTTCAGTGCTATCTCTGAAATCCAAAGTTCTTTTGTACAGGTATAGAAGAGCCCAGACTCAGCAGCTTGCGTCTGTGCCTGGATTCCTCCCTGGGAGAGCAATGGAATAGTCCTCTGCTTGGTCCTTAGTTTCTGTGACACTCAGCAAGGATGGCAGCATCTGTTTTAATAGTATTTGATAATAGAAATGGGTGTCTGATGTAGCATAATGGATTTCTACGATGTGCACTTCTACTGGAAACATTATGGGATATAATTATCTGAATTATTCCAGTTGGAAATCCACTGTTTCATTTGTTCTTCTTTAACTATTTGTTGATTTTAGCCAATAATCAGTGGGAAGATTGACATTTAAATTCTCCATCTGTGGGGTTTTTTTTGTAATTAAGCTCTCATCAGCAAGAATTTCTTTAAAATATTTACAATACATGGTAAAATGATTTGGGCCTCTATATGGGGCCTCTCAAATAAATACAACAGAAATCTAGTGCATAAACCACATAAGACTCAAAGCACATGGAAATATAAATTCCACAAGAATGATAACAAGCACAGAAACATGAATTACATATAAATATATCTGTATAAAATAATTTAATGAAGGATAGATGTGGGCACATATCTACACACTGGACATTGATACTCTCTCTGTAGTAAGGGTTTCTCCCATACACAATTCAGGCACACTGATGAACCAGGCCATAGGGTTTTTTGTCCTGGCTTATCATACCTCAGTTTATGTTAAGCTTTGGGTTCTGTGTAGTTCTTGTGAGCATTGACTAATACTAGACTTATGAAAAAAGGATGACTTGAGTAGAGGTGAATTCTGAGTGTGCTGAAAACTTGGTGGGTTGGTTTGCCCAATCGACAAATAGATAATAGAATCCTTCAGGCACCTGTTCTGAGGTAGTTAATGAGATGAGGAGTGTCTGGGAGGTGATGTGTGCTCAGTTCTTCTAGTGTTTTGCTCCCACCTTTAATTTCTTTCCTGCAAATGACCTTCACCAAGAAAATAGAGCTAAAGTGCTATGAGTGACATTCCTTCTAATCTCTGTTTGAACTTCTGATACTTTTTCATGACTGTGGAATTGAGATCAGCTTTTCCAAGCTGATATTCTCTCTTCTCTTCTCTTGCATTGCGTTTGCCCTGGAGAACCCAATTTGATTTGTCATTAAACCTTGATTAAAGGTGTGGTTTTTGTATGGCACAATTAACCTAGACAGTGGAAGTTGAGAACGTCACATAACTTTCTTTCAAAAATAAGCTTCTATGATTCACATCTACTGGGCAAGTCACACTAAAGCCAGAATTTCATGTCTTCATGCAAATATTATAGTCAGACTTTCATTTGTCTTTGTTTTCACTTCTTTGAGTATTAAATTTTGAAAGTTGGTGACAGGTGAGTGCGTGCAGGTGTGTGCAATCTGTTCTTCATTGCCTGTGTTGAGATTGATGGATGGTGTGCCCAAACAGAAGGAAAAAAAAAATATCATGAGTTCTATCATCCTCCAACAAACTATTTACAAAATCTACATAAATTCAAAGTAGCTTGCTTTATTAAAATTATTTTCTTGATATTTCTCTACAGGGACTGTCATCAGTCACCAAGAACAATGGAGTACTCAATATGACCTTTAAATATGACAGTAAGTTGAAAATTTGCACTGTATTCACAAAAATCGAGGACTCCCTAACAGTTGTCATTGTATAGCAACATGTCTCTTAAAAATGGCTCTAAGAATAGCATGAGCTCTTTACTATTGACATAACTTTAAAATTTAGATTTGTTTCTTCTGGGTCTGGTGGATCTTCTCCTTCCTGTGTTTCACTGATAATAAAACGATCTAATAATTTGTAGTAGTTTAACTTTCAGATTGGCCTACATCATCTGCCCAGTTTTGGCTGGAAAATTATAGAGAATGATTTTATTCTGTGAAAAAATGTAGTCATTGAGAGGTTCACTACACACACAGTCATAGGAAAGGATTATTTCAAGCTTTATACCTCTTTTCTCTGATGTGTAGTTTTGTGGGAAAATGGTGTAAAGTGTGTCTCAAGGTAGAAAATGTATAGTTTGTATGCAGGGAATATATTAAAAAATGTGTCTTTGCAAGGATTAATATTGAAAATGAATATTGAAGATGAGTAGCATGTCTTCAGCTAGTTGAAGTAGTTGGAACTTCTCATTAGCTACAGTGTTGAAGGACCAGGTTAGTGGAAAACTGCTGTCTACATTTTCAGTGAAGACAGATGGTTTTAGTACTTAGCAGATGTGGTCTGTTTTGCAGCTAAACTAAGAAGAAAGTAATCTCTAGCATAATAACGGTAATAAGCAGGTTGCAGCAATAATACTTCAAAGGTCTGCTAAATGGCTGTATCTTACTGTTGTCATTTTTTAAAGGTTTTTGTCATCTGTGTTGTCTAGTTGGTAATGTATGACTATTGACTACATTGGGAGTTTATACTTATTTGGGCAGTTAGTGGCCATCATCAATATAAACTCAATGTACAGACAGAGACGGTCCTAATTTACAGCAGTAATGTTTGTATTAATGCCAGTGCAAGTTACAGGTTGGGTTTTTTGCCTACCCAAAGAAATTGCCTCAGATGCTGAATGTAGGTAAGATTTCATCATTGACAGCATGTATCAGGAAACCTAACAATAGTGCTTTTGTTTCATTCTGATCATCCTTTTGTTCCTCTATGTTAATTCCAGAATTTGCAATCCTTCACTGTTATTTTTGTTTCAATCTAATTTGATGTTAATATTTAAAATGAGCAAAATTTAAGTATGTCAGAATTGTACAAGAGGTAAGTGGTTGCTACAAAAGAGTTGTGATTTTTTATCTACATAAAGTAAAACAGGAAATAATATCAGTCAGAACAGAGATCCCCACATTTAGTTAACACAATGGAGTCTGTTTAAGTCTCAGTATCTGTCATGTTTTTTCCATTAATTCTGGCACCAGGAACTGTGTTTAACCAATGACAAGTGTTAATTCAAAATTCTGCTGGCACTGCATGCTTCCTGGACAAAGGACTTACTGGAGTTCTGCAGTACTAGGAAAAGAGTTACCTGATATCCAAGGCTAAAGAGTTTGTATAATATAGTAATAGGTACTTATCATGAATAAGCCAGCACAAAAGAGAATTTGGCTTGCTGGCTGTGATTTAAGGGCTTTTATTTTGCCACACAGCAACTTTAGCGAACTGTGTTTTATGTTGTTAAATTAGTTGGTTAGATTATTTATTCAGGTGAGAAACAAATGTTTGTACATTTTAGTATTTCACTTTTATTCAAGTAAAAGAAGTGGTTTCCTGAAAAGTGCAATTTTTCCCTGCTGTTTTCTTTCTAAATCTGTTGTTCTTTAAAAATGTAAATCAGTGACTCACAGTCAAACTTCAGACATTTGTGCTATATTCTGTTCTGGCAAATTGTCATTTGACCGTAAAATTTTAGTAACCAGGATCCAAAATCTTGGGCTCATTATTAATTAGATCCAGACTTAGCAAAAAACTGTTACTTCAAACTTTCCATTGAAAGAGATACTCTATTCTCCTAAGAGGAAGTTCATGCTGTCATTGAGTTCACTCGTAGCAACAGAATTCTACAAACAGCAGAGTAAGTACCAACTGCCCAGCTTTTGTAAAAGGCAATTTTGTACAAACTGTTCTGTTCTTATTTGCGTGGCGGTTATATAAAAGACCCCTTACCATTGTTATTCATAGTAAAAAGCTATTTTCTAAAACTGCTTTTCAGTTAATAATTTTATTTTCCTTGCCTTTAAGATCACACCTCTGATTTAAATTTGAATTTCTGGCATTTGCATATCAAAATCAAATTATTGATTTTTCATGTTTTGTTTATACAAACTCTGTATAGACAAATAACACAGCATATAGATTATCTCAGTTTTTTAGAATTAATCATCAATCAGTAATATATAGTCTACTGGTCAGCTTTTTGTGGATTTTGTTGGCTTCAATAGTTCAAAAGCAGAATGTTTGTGCACACATGCCGTCATGTATACTGTGCTCCAGAACTGTTGAATTCTCTGGCCGCTACTTCTCTTCCTGCCAGAAATATGAGCCTAAACATTGTAAGGCTTTAAAAGTAATAAAATTTGGGGTTATTTGTTTTCTTGTTTTGAATGCATAAAGACACGGTCAAGTTCAACAATGAAATCAAGAACGTTTTTCATATATTTTATTTTCTTAATGAAAGCTGAGGTTTTCTATAATCGCATGTTTGCGGAGCTGTAACGGTAGGGAATACACTGTATTTTGTGAGGACAGCAAGACAAAACCAGTTCTTACTGGATCCAGGCAGGAAAATGGTCTACAGGGATGTGGCTACTGAATGGACGACAGAGATGAGATGGGTTTAGGCAGTAGATTCTTTGTGGTCAGGATCAAGCAGTGTCGTGGTTAAAAAGCACTTCTTGAGCACCAGTTCTAAAGCTTCACATTGTTCATTGTTCTCATATGTGCCTAATCATTGAGCAACATTCTCTTGCTCTAAGCACTGTACATGCACGAAATTAATGCTAGTCCTCATCTTCTTTTGAGTAATTAGGAAAAGTTGTTCTCTTTTGGGAGTCCCAACATGCGTCATTTGTACTCTTACTGTGGTACAGGCCACATTGGTATTATAAACTGGCAATTTCCTCTGGAGTCCTGTGAACTAGGGTTTTGCAACTGGTGAAGGTGGTTGTGCTCAATGATTTGTGAAGTTTTGTGTTTTTCAGTGTCCTGAGACAAAAGCTTCATCTAGATTTACTATGCAATACTTATTTTTATAGAATAAATAGTGCACATGTACTTTTACTTTGCTCAACCTTGAAGAAATGTTAGGAAAGTAACTTAATTCTTTATTTACATGGAAAGATGTGGGTCACGATGGAAACTGGTTGCTTGAATAGATCTTTAAGATTAGGTGCAGTTGGCAGATTATGATTTACTTGCTCTGGTATGGCACAAGAATGTCAGCTAGAATGTTTTTCTTAAAGCGTTTATTTCTCCATATTTTTAGACTGCACCCCTTATCTGAATTCAGTGGGAAAACACGTGATTGGAGATGTGCAGAATATAACTATCAGTCAGTATGCATGTTATGAACAAGTTGCAGTGACGATACTTTGGACAGCAAATGTCATCGGTAAGTAGTAGAGGGAAATGGACTAATTCATCATGTCTTTGGTAATAACTTCTTGCTGATCACTATTAAGTAAAATAATTAAATTCGGCTTGGAATCATTGAAGCAAACTGCTTAAGAACAACAAATCCTTAACAGCTTTGCAAAGCTGCTATTTTTACTAGCTCACTTGAAATACCCTTAAAACTAGGATGCTCTCTGCAGCCATATGCTGCTTTCTGCTGTTCCAGTTTGTTGAGGTTTTCCTGCTCTTCAGAACTTTGTAATAGCCCCGATTTCATTCTCTGCCCCAAGTACATTTCAATGGCGTTGATTGAGTTTAATTGCCAATACACTTAAAGATCCTTTAGGATACAGATTGTCTTACAGGTGGAAAACATTATTTAATCATAGCTGTATAAACTTTAAGGTGTTCCCTTGTCAGGTCTGGTCACTAAGAATATTCCTTGATCACTTAAATGTCACTGGAAGTACCTTGTTGCCCACTAGAGCAGTAGTCTCCAAAGTGGGGGGCTGTGCAAGATGATCCACTGGGGCATGTGAAGAAAATTTTAGAACTTCTATTTACATATTTTTTTAAATGTTGAAAAGAAAAACTAAGCTTTACTAATATTTAATACATGGATTGACACTGGCACCCTTACTATGTCAGATGTCCATGTTTCACGTGCGGTACATGAGGTAGCCTGAAGGAAAACAATGTGGAGGGGTTCACAGTGGCACCCTCACTCTTTCATTTGCTTTCAGCATATTGTGATGTATTGCAGACTATGTGTGCCAGGTTAAGTGGATTTACGGATTATATTATCTAGTTTTAACTAAACTAACCATCATGATGAAATGGACAAGTGGCTTGAGATAATTGAAGGTAAAACTAACAATGCGAGCGTTATTTGAACAAGAAAGTAGTAGAGCTGACAGTTCCCCTACTCCTAGTACAGACTCTTCATTGCCACATTAGAAGGTAAAAACAAGGACTATCTAACCAGTTCTGATAAAAAGTTGGCCAAAATTATCAAAATTATCAAGACTCTTTGAAATACAGATTTACACCTGCCATTGTTAATGATGAACCTTGCACTAAGTGTATAGTGTGCTTTGAGATATTAGCTAATACTGTGAAGCCATCACAGTTAGCAAGACATTTGAAAGCTAAGCATCTGGAACATGAAGACAAACCTCTACAATTTCTTCAGTGATGTTTGAAGCCATGCAGTACTCAGTAAAGTACAAAAATTCACTAAACTTAATGATAAATCTTTAGAAGTCTCTTTTTGCAAAATGTCTTTTGAGATTTCTTACTCATAGTGAAAGACAAAAAGCCACATACCACTGGGGAAACATTTGTTCTTCCTGCCACAGTAAAACTGGCTGAAAAAATACAGGGGAATACTGGAATAAAAAAAAAAAAAAAAAAAAGGATTCTGGTGTAAGGTTAGAGAGATAGTACCACATGTGAAATTCAGTCATTGCATCATTCATAGGGAAACTATTGCAGCAATGAAGTTGGAGCTAGAAGTGCACAGGATGTCATCAGTGTGGTTAGTTTTATAAAAACAAGACATTTAAATAGTAGAATTTTTACAGTACTTTGTAATGAGATGGGGGGTGACTGTGAAAATCTTTTGTGCCACGCAGAGGTTCACTAGTTATCTTGTGGCAAAGTGCTTAAGAGTTGTCAAACTCAAATCTTTAAGTTAAGCATTCTTCTTTCACTAAAAAGCAAGTGTTGCAAATTTGCTGACCTTTTCTGTGATGACAAGTGGTTGTCAGTTGTATGCTACCTAGCAGATATTAAAAAGCCCCAAAACCCAAAGAAAACCATGCTTAATGTGTCCCTTCAAGGTAAAGGTGACCTTTTAACAATGAGTGAGAAAGTAACTGCTTTTCAAAAGAAACTCATGCTATGGAAAGAGCCTTTTGAAAATGGATGTTTGGAAATGTTTCCTTTGTTATGTGATTTTGTTGCTGAAAACAATGCCAGCTTCTCTCATATTTTTACACTTAAGAAATCGGGAAACAGCCTGTTAAAAAATCTTCTGAATGCAGAATTTCAGTGGGTTTTGAACCCATTTGTTAAAAATATAAAAATGCAACACATTCTGATTAGCTTGGAAGAACAGCTGGCATCAGGGTAGTTAGAAATTTACTAGCCAAATTTCAAGAAGAACCTTTGTGTAATTAGAGGATGGAAGTGAAAAATGAGTATCATGATTTAGTAAATGCAGCCGATGTTGCACTTCCTCCATTTGGATCCACGTATCTTTGTGAGGTAATTTTTTCAGCTATGGCAGCCATTAAAACCAAGTGCCATTAAAACCAAGTAATGAAATAAACTGAACTTAGAACCAGGCCTTTGAATTGTCATATCACAAAGTGTTAAACCAAGATTTAAAAAAAAGTAGTGAAGCATATTCGATCCCTTTCAAAAATATTATTAATATTTTTAGTGGGAACAAAAAAGTTTTTGGTATAATTAATAAAATAAAAAATATTTTTAAAATAGTTTTTAATCTTTATCTCATGCTTTTTAAATTTTGTTTGTGTACATAATATATTAGCACAGTAGTACAGATGTATATTTTATAAATATACTGGGTTTTTTTTTTTTGTAAACAGTGTTTAGCAAAAGAAAGAGATGGAGTTTCCTTCTTGAATGCTTTTAATACTTGATTAAAGAATTTTAACTGCAAAGGTGCTTTTCCATATCGATGAAATAATTATAGGAGTTAAGCACAATACAGTTTTCAAAATTAAAACAATTTTTTTTGTTGTTCTTTTTCTCATACAGCAGAGTCTGAACTTGATATTTCATGGTTCATACTCCCTCAAAAAGCTTTTAAATAAGGTTTTTCTTATGATTTAGTAAGAGCTGGAAGTTCCCATTTATGTGGTAAGATTGCATCCTAAATGATGAGATTTGGCTAATAATGCAAATGTGTATTTATTAAACTTGATACACTTTTTTTAGCCTAGACCTGCATTTATTAAATCAAACATTTTTAGATAAGAAAAATTGTCATTTTTTGGTGGCCTCCCAGTATTAAATCATGCTTTTATAATTTCGTTGATTAAAAAATTAATTTCTGGGGTTTAAAAGTGTATATGAAAATTACACTGAATTCTGCAAAACTGTGCAGTTGAAAGCATTTGGTAATCTTCAGCTGCAGACTGGATTAATCAAATCTCTATGGGAAACAAAGCTTGGTGTTCTTTCTTGTAATGATGAGAGGTTAATCCTTTGGAAAGTGTGAGGACAGAACTGCCGTTGAAACATCTCGGGTAATGTGGAGACTGGACACTTCCTCTTTCATGATCTTCATGTAAGCACAAATAGAGCTTTTGTTCCATGGAATATTAAGAACACACTGGGCAACTCATGGTCTTTATCTTCTACCTTTAAAAAACCCCACAAAACCATGAAAACTAGTGAAACAGAGGAGGTCCATGGAAAATAATACATTTGGGATTTTTTTTTTTTTTTTTTTTAATTTGACAAGCATAGCATAAACTCAAGTTAATCCATTTTGGTTTATGTAGCATTTAGCTTACAAAGGCTGCGCCTGTGTCTGATAAATACGTATTCTGCCATATGTAATGCTGCTGAAAATACGTAATTAGATGGAGTGGTGGTAGTTAGTCTTGAAGAACTATGCAGTGACTTTGGTACCTGGGCTGCAAAACTATCACAGGGTAGCGCTCTGGCATTGTCCTGTGACATTTGCATCACTGTGACACAGTTTAGTCAGTTAATGAAGTAATTCCACGATAACAAAATTGCAAAGAAATCTAAAGACACTGTGCTGAGAGTTAGTTGTGTTAGAGTAACTTGAAAAAAATGGGTGTAGTTCTGGCATCAGTTATAAATAACTGGAAAATTCACTCACTGGAATAAATTCCATTCCATTTAAGTCAAGTTTTCTGTTATCCCATACTATAGTAGAACTAAAGAAGTTGTAACAACCGCTATCACTTTAATCTGATAGTCTCAGAAATGATAGGAAGATGTTATAAAGTAGTATTTCTACAATTTGCTAGCAAAATGTTCTATTTCATTGCTAATCATGGAAATGTGAAGTTACTATAAGGTGATGAAGATAATGATAACTTACATTGCACTGATAATTCGGAAGCCTCAGCTGTGGTGTGGGCCCCTCTGCTCTAAGCATTACACGAGTATGTAGTAATTGCAGTCTTTGCCAAAGATTGAATTCTGAATAGGCAAGATAGAAAAGATGGGAAGAACTGACATTCAACAACAGGTATTAAAACAAGCATATTTTATATGAATGGTAAGTTTTATTTTTAAAAACAAATGAAATATATTCAAATTACATAAAATACCACATTACGCATTTTGAAATATTAGTCTTCTATTTAAATGTTCTGCTGTTTGCAGGGATTGAATACCTGAAAGGATTTCGAGTAATACTTGAGGAGTTAAAATCAGAGGGAAGACAGTGCCAGCAGATGGTTTTAAAAGATCCAAAGCAGCTCAGCCCCAGTTTTAAACGAACAGTAAGTCCTTTGTTTCAAGAAAAGTTTCACTGTTGCTTGTGAGTAGTCTTGAAAGTGTTTATATGCTGCATATAAATCTAAATATATCTCTGTCTAAATATATACACAATGTGCTCTTTACTGGGATGCAGGTTGCTTCCTGAAAGTATTGTTCTTTAAACTAATGATAGCTGTTGATCTAGAGACAGATCTATTCACCTTCTAGAGAAGCTTTCCTGAAGCTCGAAACTGTTATTTGGGTGACTCTGGAGTACAGGTGCACATCTGTAATAGTCTGTATCCAACTCTGTATTTCTCTGATATGAGATTCCTCATGTGAATGTGTAATGGAGGGGTAGATAAAGGATTCTTAATGTGCATTTCTGCTTATGTTTGCACAGCTGTGGGCCTGTTTTGAAAGATACTTTCAGTTATAATATTTGATTTTAAAATATGTTGCAATCTTGTCTTTTTGTAGGGAATGGAATCCCAGCCCTTTGTAAATCTGAAGTTTGAAACAGATTACTTTGTAAAGATTGTTCCTTTTCCTTCCATTAAAAATGAAAGTAATTATCACCCATTTTTCTTCCGAACTAGACGTAAGTATTGCCTATTATCTCTTCACCAATGGGTGTCATCCGTGTCCTGTTCCCCCCAGCTTTTTAGTTTTCCCAACAAAAGAATAGTAGTAGATGATGGTCTTAGATGAGTCTGGGTTAAGGCAGTTACTGACATAGTCTTTGAAGGAAGTTCTAGGTGTTAAGTGGAAAAAATTTGGATGTCACAGGTGAATCTGTGGCGTATGATAATACGTGTTAGGCAACATCCAGAAGAAAAGTCTCAGGTAGAGATTATCCCAGGTTTGCCTATAGCAGAATTACTCCCCTGGTCCTCAGGAACACTTGACTTATGAAGATGGTTTGCTCCTTCCCCTCTCTGGACATTGTGAAGAAGCTCAGGTTGTTTTTGGTTTTGAGATCACAGTTCCAAAAACAGGTATCTAGAGAGAGATACCGAGGAGTACATATAAAATTAGGTAGCAACAAATCAAATTGAATTTCTCAAAATTACTTAGCAATTCTCATTGGAGTTAGAGAGAAGAAACTTGAATAAGCTCCTCAGTGCTTAAATAGTATGATGAGAAACTGCAAGTACTCTTTGGGGTCAAATGTTGATATTTGTCCTGCTTAGGGTTTTTTGCCCTATAAAACTTTCTTAAAATATTTTCAAGTCTGTCTGTTGATGCAGACTGCAGTAACATTTGTCTTTGTAATCGTGCTCAGCAGATTTATTTACTCTGAGCAAATGTATTTAAGGCTAGTTTCAGCTTCCTCTCGTGCTGTGCCTGGTGCTATCCCTTTTGTCTCACTAAGGAATGCTATTTTCAACTTAATGAACCTGTGTTTCTCATATAAAGGTGAGAAGGGACTTGAAATCATAACAAAGCAGCTAAGTTTGCAAAATATATTTACTCCAGGCATATTAGAGATTGGGAAGGAAATGAGGGTATTGTCTTCAAAATGATGAACTCCCTTCTTTTGCCCTCGTTCTTTTTCTATTTAAATAGCACAGCATTTTGATACTGTATCATTAATAATTTTTGTGTGTATTTGTAGCGTGTGAATTGTTGCTACAGCCAGAAAACCTTGTCTGCAAACCTTGTAAGTAAATGTAATACTTTCTGTATATTCATCTTACAAAAAGTTACTGTACTTGAAGAGTCACTTTTTTCCAATTCATGAATATCTTCTCTGACAGACTGGAAACCAAGGAATCTGAACGTTACCCAGCAGGGTTTTAACATGCAAGTGTCCTTTGATCATGCACCACACAACTTTGGGTTTAGGTATTATTTTCTTCACTACAAACTTAAGCATGAAGGGCCTTTTAAGCAAAAGACCTGCAAACAGGTACGTCACTGAGTTTTGCAACTCTTAAAAGCACAAAATCTATTAACATTAGATGTTCTGAAGTTTTATAGAAACTTAAAAAACTTAATGTAATGTAGAATACTATCAGTTTTAATTATTTGGTACTACTTATGTAAATAATAATTGTATTGTGATAGCACTCATCAGTCAAAACCAGGCTTGAGGGCTCTGTTGGAGCTGGATAGTATAAGCAAATGGGAAGAGACTGTTCTCTCTCTTGCAGACCCTACAACTAATTAGTACTTGAAACTGCAGTTTTGTTATGTTCATTATACATATTATTTCCTACTTTTTTATTTCAGCTTTGCACCAAATTTGAGCACTTTATAGATTACCCATCTGAGATGGTATCACAAGATAGCTCTCATTTTAGTATGTGCATGGAATTAGGCTCTTGGTGATTTTGTACAGCTGTGTGCCTAGGTCTTATTACGGGAGCTGCAGTTTGCTGTATTATTTTCCTTAACTTTGGTTAGTATTCAATGGCAAGTTTGTTCTCACTGGTCATCCTTTTATCCTAAGTCTCTGAAAGCTGGGGAGCTTCAGGGCATAATGTAGAGTTTATGTATTAGACCAAACTTCAAACGTTTTTGGTTTTTGTTTTTTTTTTTTGATAATTAATCATACTTTAGTTCTGCAGGCAGAGGATTGTAGTCCTTGCATATTTGAATGGAGAAACTTAGTTTTGCTGGTTTAAGGTGTCTTAATACAGGAGGGTGCTGTAATATTTCTAAATCAATGCGAATGTATTTTTTTTTTAATTAGGTTTTAAAAGTATGTGAATGGCTTGCCAAGTATTCTCTTTCTTTGATGCAGGAGCAAAACACAGATACTACAAGTTGTGTTCTTCAGAATGTATCTCCAGGGGATTATATAATTGAGGTAATATTTATGAATAATCATTTGTACAACAGCTAAATGAGTATGTTAATGGAGGAATTAACTGAAATGAAAGTATTTCAGGTCACTTTTTGGTAAAATTTGGCTTCAGGCATCCCTACTGAATTACCTTGGGCAAGTAAAAGTTTTTGAACAGATTGTTCTTTCCATAGCTTTGCTTCCCTGAGTGCATAGCAGTTTCATCTGTGCCTTCAAGTAAAGTAAAGTTGTGGTCCTACATAGTTCTTGGACTTTGAATTTTTTTTTTTTTTTAAATTGGAATTCTGTAGTTTGGTCAATTTTTACTATACTTAAAGATGGGTATTTCTCTTGATGATGACAGTATCTGAACTCTGAAAGTTAATGTTACACCATAAACTATCTACCAACAAAGACAAATTATTTCACTAATTACTGGATTGTGGTGCTCCACAATTTTAAGTTTTGGACAGTAAGTTTCTTCACATTTGGTCATGAAAGCTGTTATAGTTGTTTACATATTGCAGAAAATAAATAAAACTAAATTTCACAAAATAAAATTTAACTTTTACTTTTCAAAGCTGGTTGATGACACTAATACAACAAGGAAAACAATGCACTATGCACTAAAACCAGGTATGAATTTTGTTTTTTAAACAGTATATAGTATTTACCTTATTAATTTAAATTTAGTTCTAATTATGTTGGAAATAAATCTTGATTTAACCTGTGTCTGCCGTAATCAAGACTACATGCACACTTGTACATACACATCTGCATCTCTGTACATTTATATTTAGTACAGTTTAGGTCAGTGTATCATTGGAAGTCTTTGTGGGGAAGTTACTTTTGTTGTATATATGGGTATGAAGAATCATAGCCTGTGTCTTAATTGCATGCAACTGATGCATGCAGTAGTGTGGAAATAATGTAATGAAACTGTGAGAGCAGCCTAAACACATCACCTGCCTGTGTACTTCAGCCCTGAAATGAAATTAAGCAGTCTGGAAAACCTGTCAGGTGAATGCTTAGCACATCTATGTATCAGACCAGTTACTGAGAAGCTAAATAAGGTAACTATTTAACTGTGTAACTGCAGACACAAAACATAGCTGCAGATGAAGGCAATGGGCAAAATGGACTGAATCCTAATGCACATTGGTAAAGGTAATCTGTGCAGGAAGACAGTTCTTTCTAAGTGGCTAGTTTAGCACCCTGGAACAAAAATCTGGCAAGTCCAAATGACTGTTGCATATCTTATCAAAACTACACTTCATGTAGTTCTTCTCATGGCGGGGGAGGTGTGGGTTGGCATACGGCACTTGTTACTTATGTTGGTCACTCTAATGCTGTGGCGATGGGGCCAATCAGCATAAAACCTATTCAACAAGGAGCAGAACATGATGTACTACTGTATATTTGAGAATAACCTGGTAATAGTGTATTGCAGCAGTTTTACATTCCCAGTGTGAACCTTTGATTAGATAATTATAATATAGCTTATTTGCATGTGGCTAATTCTGCTTTGTTTTTCAAAGTACATTCTCCGTGGGCTGGACCGATAAGAGCTATTGCCATTACAGTCCCTTTAGTTGTCATTTCAGCATTTGCAACGCTTTTCACAGTGATGTGCCGCAAGAAACAGCAAGGTAAGAGTGTTTATTCAATACAGAGTTCCATTTAAAGATGCCCTTTTGCAACCAAAAGTCTTAACTGGTAGGTTTATTCCAGAAATACCTTTATCTGAAGAGCTTTCTTTTCTTTTCTACCTCTCTCTCCTTCCTCCCCACAGCTTTTTTGTGTGTTGAAACTTGTAGCAAATTCTTATCAGTGCTTGATGGTAATTTGTTACCATGGAAAGTATTGTATCATTAATCAAGACTTCACTGTAGAAAGGAGAGAACAAAAGACCTGTTGGAAAATATTTTTGGTTTTGGGTTTCTTTTTATTTGTTGAAAGTACTGCATGACCACGTAGAATACAAACAGATCTGTAAATTGATATATTTTAAACATGCCCGCATTTCATTCAGGAATGTCTAACTCATATTTATTTTAAACCAGAAGGAAAGTAAAGCCGTGTGATACCAATACAATTCTCAGCACTGTCTGGAATACTACCTATATCTATTATTCCAGACTGGCTCACTTTCCTGGAAGTTGCCTTTATACTTCATCCTAAGCTGTCTTCCTAAATTTACTCTTTCTAAGACTTACTTGCAGATGTTTCTCTAAATTAGATTCCATCCCTCTTTGCTGACTTCTCTCTTCTCTGAGTCTGGGAGCTGGCAAGCCGCACATGTTACATTGAGATGTTAAAACTCAGTGGCTTTTTTTGTAGAATCTAGGGAATCATGCAGTTTCATGAATACGGAAAAAGAGATTACTTTCCCAAACCTCACGTATCTGTGTTATCCATCTGAATTTTGGCATTGAGGTATACTGCAAGTGTTATATGCCATCTGTGTTAAATCCTTTTACCTTCTGGTCTTCCGTGTCTATCCCTTTGCTCACAGCTAGCTCAGGTCAAAAAAAAACCCAGACAAATCACTAAGGATTTGTCTACAGAGAGAGTTGTTCCAGAATAGTTATTCCTGATGAATTGTTCCAAATTAAATCCCTAGATGGACACTTGTATTTTGAAATACTCATGTTTTATTCCAAATTAGCTTAATCAACTGTAGAACTAGATTGAATTACTCTGGCATAAGACCAGACAAGACCAGATAAGTTCCAGCATAAAAGCATGTATACAAGGAAAGAAACACCAATAGCTATTTTGATTTAAATTAATCATATCTTAATTCAAATTAATGTCCAAATATGTGTGTGTGTATATATATCCCAGAGAGATACTGTATGATAATCTGAAGGGATCTGTGTTCCTGGAGTTTCATATTCTTACCTGGCTTGTGTCATGTTTTTGGTTTTTTAAACAAGAGACTTTATTATACAGGAAACTCTTGATGATAATACATCTTTAATATTTATAATATTTAAACAGAGACGTGAAGACTATTGGAGCTGGATAGACATGAAACAACCTCATTCTATTTATAAAGTAAACCTTTCTTGAGTTTACTGAGTTGTACAGTAGTTAACTGCACATTTCACTTTCAAAGTGTGTTCCACATGTAGCAAGTCATAAACTGGATAAATAGAGCATGTGCAACTTTTCTTTTTCAGGCTGGAAAGGAAAAAAAAATCTTTTGAAAAAAGTCATGACTGTATGCACTGGTAATGAGCTTACAAAAGTTTTAAAAAAAACAAAACAAACCCAAGCTTTATAGTGTGAACTCTGTTTCTTTCTTCCAATTTAGAAAACATATATTCCCATCTAGATGAGGAGAGCTCAGAATCTTCAGCATATGCTGCAGGTCTGCATGTGGAAAGACTTCATCCCCGGCCAAAAGTGTTCATCTGCTATTCCAGTAAAGATTGCCAGAAACACATTAATGTCATCCAGTGCTTTGCTTATTTTCTTCAGGACTTTTGTGGCTGTGAGGTAAACTCAACGTTTCTTCTGTAAGCAGAGTTTCCTTAATTGAAATGGCACCCCCAAAACTCATCATAATATGTGCTTGAAAATGGGGTGTTTCAGGCTCTCCTTTCCACAGAGATAACTTTTGTTATTTTTCTAAATATTGGCTATATAAATTTTCTTTACTTAGGGAAAGGAACAGATCGTAGCCCACGTAAAAAAATGGAATAATGGAAAATGTGTACTGCATTGATTCCAGGACTTTCATTCAGCCATGTTCAGCTTGTTTCATCTTAACTGCTTTTTCTGTTTAGTAGGTCTTGCATCTTTATGGTCAGCAGCCACAAAGAGGTATTAGTGTCTACCTGATATACTTCAGTATTCCTAAAATACATTTCATTTTTGTAATTTTAAAGTAGTTGAATCTATCAAAACTCCTACTCATAGAGAAAAATCTGTGTAATTAGGATTAATTGTTGACATTATGTATTAATTTTTCTTGGGGTTTTTTTTTTTTTTTTACTTCCGTTCCGTTAATGCTGTAAAATCAGCATGTCTTTTTCTTGTTCTTGATTTAAAACTATGAGAAAGACACTCAAATTGTTACTTTGAATGACTAGGCTTAGAATCTCAGACTGCTTTCTCAACTATAATCAATATGTGGCCAGTCTTTCGCTTTTCAACTGTAAGAAGGCAAGACAACTGTTAGTCCATTTTTGCTGCATTTTAATTCTGCCACCGTGATTTTAAATGTGTGAATGGGAACTGTTTCTTCAGCGGTACAGCAAGTCTGTCCCCTAGTGGCCAAACACAGTAACATAATGGATGCCTTGCATGTTTGGGGATGTTCACAATTTATTCATATGCTTAAAATAGTTCAGGTCAGGTGTTTTATAAGTAACTTATTTGTATCCCCTTTTTAGAGATGTACTTTAGCCTTGCTACACCATACTACTTTGGAATAGTGTTGAGGTGAGCTGTTACGGCTATAACTATGTACCATGGAACACAGGGTATCAGGCATCATTTAAGATTTGTATAACAAAATACTGGTAGCATCTACATACAGAAATAATATGTGTTGTTATCAAAACTGTGGAGTTTAATATAAAAAGTGATGCTCAATGCATAATGGAACAGTTGCACAAATATTTTTCATATGGAATTGGAATATTTTCTCATGAAGGACAAAACCAGTGGCATTTAATAGCCATTTAAAATAATAACTTGACCATACTAAAAGTCCTTTCTTACAGACAGGAGATCAGACAGTATTTTGAAGAACAGAAACAAAAACAGACACAAAAGAAAAACTACCTGCATTGTACCTTTATCAGAGTATCTTCCAAGCAGCTGTAAAATGACTTCTCTTCCCCATGCATAGAATAGAATAGTTCAGTTGGAAGGGACCTACGATGATCATCAAGTCCAACTGCCTGACCACTTCAGGCATGATCACTTTCTTCCTGTAGCTGACTCTGCGGTAACAGTTTTCATGAGTCCTTGTGTTCTAGGCATCCACCTGCTCTCTGTCTTCTGACATGGCAAAGTTTTCCACTCTGTTATGGGTGAGAAAAATACCATAAATAACATAAAATACCAATAAATACCAAAATAACGTAAAATACTTCGTTCTCTGGAAAAATGCTTGAGAGAAGACTTTAGAAATGGTTTTCATGTGTGTCTATTATGAAAGTTTGTTGCATCTATTTTTTTCTGTTATTCTACTGCTCATTCTTTCTTTCATGAGGTAAAGCATTGTGTCCTTCATCTCGGCGTACACAGGCATTTCAGACCATGTAGAATGTTCAGAAAATTTGACAAAGTACAAAATAAAACAACTCATATGATAAAAATTTTCAGAGCTTTCTTATCAGAGATAAGCTGCTGCTGTTTTGCATCCTGACTGAAAGGACTCAATGTTATGGGCACTAATTATGTTTGTATCTAGATATGAAAATTCTTGGCATCAGACTTCATTAGTATGCAAAAGATGATAAATGAATATGGATTGCCATTACATTTGCCACATTAAGGACCCAAATATACAGCAGTTAAATTGTTTGAGGCAGGCACAATACATTATTTATTGTGGGTTGATGATATCTGATTTGATCAGATAATTTACTTGATCCAGCCACATTTTCTATGTTCTTTTTATTTCCCAAGAAATATTGCTATGTACCAAATCTGTAGTGGTTTTATTTTTTAAGGAATTAACTCAGTTTACATTCAACTATTTGGCTTTTGCACTGTTACTTGTTGATTCCATAAATTTATAAGTAACACAGGTATAATTAGCTATGTTTTTCTTTAAGTAATAAATAAGCAGCAAAATGGGTTCATATAGTAACTATCATTCTTGGGGTTTTTTGGTTGTGGGTTTTTTTTTTTTTTTTTTTTTTTTTTTTTTTTTTTTTTAAATCTGGAAGGTTTTCCTTTTTACCTTAACAAGTCACCCACTTCCTTAGCCCAGTGAAATATTCAGCCCGCAAGCAAAGTTTAGGATGAAAGTGAGGCCTTGTTTATTTTGGTGAACAACTACTGACATAGTATCAGTGATTTCAGTTTGTCCACTCTCAATGCTATATTAATTATTATGTATTTCTCTTTTAAAACAGCTTGTATGTGCATCAGGGACAAGCTATAGTTAAACTCATGATTAATTCTCAATTGTTAGATAAATACAAGCTGACTCACTGAGGATAACTAGTTTGAATTTTATTAGCAAATACATCTAATAATCTAATAATGAATATCAATCAGAATGTTCTTTCCTTTTCCAGGTGGCTCTAGATTTGTGGGAAGACCTAAAAATTTGTAAAGAAGGTCAGAAAGAGTGGCTTATTAAAAAAATAAACGAGTCCCAGTTTATCATCATTGTGTGTTCCAAGGGAATGAAGTACTTTGTTGAAAAGAAGAACTGGAAACACAGAGGGGTAACCAAAGATGCAGGAAAAGGAGAACTCTTTCTGTTTGCTGTGTTGACTGTTGCAGAGAAGCTTCGTCAAGCAAAGCAGAATTCAAGTGACCTCTGCAAGTTCATTGCAGTCTACTTTGATTACTCCTGTGAAGGAGACATCCCTGGTATTCTGGATCTTAGTACAAAATACAAACTCATGGACAATCTCCCTCAGTTGTATTCACATTTACACTCCAGAGATCTTAGTGTACAGGATTCAGAGGTGTTTCCTGTTAACATTAGTAAAAGGAATTACTTCAGGAGCAAATCTGGGAGGTCCCTTTATGTTGCCATTTGCAATATGCATCAGTTTATTGATCAGGAACCAGACTGGTTTGAGAAACAATTTATTCCCTTCCCTCCACCTTTACATTACTCAGAGCCTGTCATGGAAAAATTTGATTCAGGCTTGGTTTTAAATGACTTGGTGAATAAACAGGTGATGGATGGCGATTTTTACCTGAAAACAGATGTAAATATTATTTCAGCAGGGAATTCAGACTCTCACTGTGTAATTCAGCACTTAAACCTCGGAGAAGATATAGAAACTGAGGACATTCAAGGTGGTGGCAGCTCTGTTCTTCAGCCGTTGTTACATGTTGTTAAAGCTTCAAATCTTAAAGATATGCCTCGAGATTCTGGAATCTATGATTCATCTGTTCCTTCATCTGAATTATCTTTACCTTTAATGGAAGGACTGTTGACAGACCAGATTGAAACATCTTCCATTACAGGAAGTGTTTCTTCATCATCGGGTTTAGGTAAGATGCAGCAGTGTTTCAAAAATTATATTCAGTTATTGTGAGCATATTTCTACCATGTCAAAATAATATGTGAGGAGCCATATAGAATGCTGCAGAGAAAGGTAAGCATTGTATAAAGAAGGTAAAAAAAGATAGGTTTCAGTAACTTTAGAAAAATGAATCTTCCTTAACTTATTCGGGGGGGGGTGGGGGGAAGGGGTGTGTGGATTCTTAGCTAAGTAAGATTTCACTAAAATTCTGTTAATAAGTCACTTCTCATTAATTGACCTATTACTGGAGAGATGGCTTTTTTCTTCCAGGGATGCCTTGGCAGCTGGGATACTCAGCTGACAGCTGCGTGGTGAAGCATTCTTACAGAATGGCCATAAATCTAAAACTGACATCCTGTTTTGCTCCAGCACATACTAGAACCTTTAGGGATATAGTCTGTACTGTGGTTAACTCAAGTTTCAGAATCACGTCAGGCTTCTCATCAGATATGGGGCTCGGGGAAATGAACAAATGGGTTTCAGTGGAGGAATTTTAATGCTTGGAAGACACTTTCCAAAATAGATACCCAGCTTAGACACTTACAGTTAGAAGGGGTAAATATCGCCTCAGGCTATATAAAAAGCTGATCTGACCTTACTAGTTACACTACATTGAACTGGCATCACAACTACATCAGTGTGGAATGTTCCAGTAATTGTATTCATAGGATAAAACTGCTATTTGAGATTTTCCTTAAGCAGCTACAGCAGGTGAATATTGTATTTTGATGGTGGTGTGCTGTTCTGCTTTCTTGAACAAATGTTGTCAGTGATCTAATTTGTTAGACTTTTCTCTTGGCTAAATGGATTTCTTTTTTTTTATTATTATTATTATTCAGATAATTCACAACTAATGTTTGATGCCAGAATTGTCTTGGGGGAGAGAGAATATAGATGTTGATTTACAGACATAGCATCTATATCTATAGTCTAGATAGTCTATAGGACAAAATAACTGAAACCTGAAAACTTCTCAGGTGGAAAAAATACAGTTTACTGATTTAATTACATATGCCACAAATACTCTGTTATTGTTTCAAAATTAATATTCTTTAATTTCCTGCCATCTTCTAACATAGCCTTTTCTCACATTTGTGGGAAAAACTACAGATGGTATCTGTAAACATTCAGGTGTTGGATGAAAGTAGGATGCTAGTTTAAAATTTATGGCCTCTGTGTAAGAATGCTTTACCAGTATTCCCCTCCTGATTCAATCACAGAACTATCAGCTGGGTATCCCAGCTGCCAAGGAGCCAGTGGAAGAAAGAGGCAGTCTTTCCAGTAATTAATTTTCAAGTCACATACCTACTTGTTAACATGTTTCAGCTGTAGAGGTTAAACATTATAGCACTAGCTGATAGAGTTGGATCTTAACACTGATGTTCCAGCATCTTAAGAAACCACAATAACTTCTGCCATTTTCCCATTCAGTGTCCCTGTCCAAAAGCACTACCCTGACCGACTCTCAAGCTCCCCCACAGCCCTCATTAGGCACAGGGTACAAAGGAGACAGTACCTAGAACTGAGCATCGTCTGCCTATTAGAGTGCAACCCAGTAAATCTTTTTACTGTCCCAGACATATGAAATATTTATAGCCCTAATATTTATATGCCTAATAATGAGAGGAGTAGATAGAATTTTTTAGCTTTTATTCTAAAATTCGACATGTCCAAATTATTACTCTGAAGTCACAGTACCACTTCTGTTCTGGCTACCTATTTTTTGCCCATTACTTCATCAGAACAGAAGTGAATAGCGCTGTCACTTACCATCTCAAGGTGGAACTTTCTTCTTAAAGGACAGTTATGATTTTAATTCAAAAGATCAAAGTCACATAACTTGTAATCCGTCCTGTCTTTCAGTGCAGTTGATGTGCAGACTACTGAACTGCAAAGAAAAGATTCTCAAAGAGATCATCATGTGGGACATCGTCAATGGAAGTTCAAATCAGTTTAATTTTGAGGAAGTAATAACCAATAACCAAACCTTTTACTAGGTCCATTCACTAATAAGGTCTTCTCTAAGAAGCCCTGTGTGGGGAGAAAAATTGTATTAATTCTTTAGATAAGGAGTTACTCAGCCCCATGAACATGGCATTACGATGCAGAGGGTTTTCTAAGTTTTCTTTGCATTGTTTCTAAAATGTTGACCAAATACAAAAATCAGTGTTTCAATTAATGAACCTCACTTTTTTTCCTTCCATAGGAGAAGAAGAACCTCCTGTAATCACTGCTACAAAATTCTTAGTGCCTGGAATATGTAAAGCAGAACTTCATTGTCATATCCATACTGACGAACTCCAGGCAATTGCTCCTTTATAATACATTACAACATTGTTATGCATTGCCACTTTATCAACAGCTTCTGTTTGTGCTTTAACTACCACACCGTCTCAGCACTAAATCTACTTGAAGGACCAGATGCTTCCTGAAGAAGATCTGTTACTCCTAAGGGGTTTTTTTTTATGGCCAGTAAACATGAATCTGTTGGTCTTTATATAAAGTCTTCCATGATTTGAAAAATGCAGTATGGAAAAACAGATGAGAATACATTTCAAAATTATTCCTATTACCAATTTAAATGTCATGATATTACACTGTTTACAGATGCCATAATCAAAATTGACTTTTTTTTGCTAGAAATAATCTTGCAACTGGACATAAAATAGCTTGGAACATTAAGTCTTAGTAAATGTCATAGTCTAGCCTCTAGTTTTAAGTGCTGACATACTTGATGGCAGGAATGTTGTAGTGAATGAGAGCAGAATTTTTTTTCAGAAGCAAGATAAAATGCCAAAGGTGAGATCAAGAAATTCTCCATTAGAAGAAATAATTTTCTTTTAGAAATGTTGGAGCTCCTTTCCTCACAGTCTCCTCTCTCTCCCAAATGTTCATGTGTCTCAGTATTTAATTTCAGATAAGCGCATGTCTCCCTCTTTTGTATGATTCTCCTATCTCTTCTCCACAGTCTGGCTATGATGACTCACAAATCGTACCATACTGAGTCTGAAGTAGCATTTTTATAATAGACAAAGATATAGATTCTGCATATGCTGAGTGATACCATGGAAACAGAGTTTCCTGGTTTTTTCCTGGAAGGGCTAATATAAAGAATACTTTAAAGAGATGGGGGAAGGAAGACCAAATTTTGTATTTAAGACATCATTCTGGATTTGTTCACCCATGAGATGAGTGTGTTTTATGGGGGATTTCATATTATCCTTCAAGGACATGCTGCTACAGAATCACCTGTGCTAAAACAGGTTAAGACAAGCAGTTAACAGGCATGGATACTTTGCTTTGTTTTGAGCCAGCCAGTAAACAGAAGCCTATGAGTTACTTTGCAGTTCACACTACTTATCATTACTTGGTGATTAAGATTGTATAATATTACTAGTGTTATATTAACAAAAAATCCTGAAACTACAACTGGACATGTTTATCTAAAAACACAGAGCATGCATGTCCTTTCTTCTGCAGTGATCAGGTAGGTATAAGGTCATCCAAAATACCCCTGCTGTTTCCAAAGAGCAACTTTTCATAAGTAAAACCTGTCTGTGTAACTGCAATTCTTGGCATGATTATAATAAGCGTGATAACAGCAAATAGTAAAGGACACCTTATCAATGGGCCTTCGCTAATTTTGCTCACGGGGTCAGATTCTGTCTTGTTTAACCTGTCTTCAGAGTCTACTAGCAGGAGGTTACTTTAGGAATACATCAAGGGGGAACTCAAACACCTCAAATATTCTCTCAGTTTTGATAGATGAGAATTAGACATTGCTAACTGTTACATTGTATTATCCATTTTAATAGCATGAGATAGAACTATTAAACCAGTGATGATTTTGGCTAAGTAGCTTTAAAGCTCCTGGGTTTTTTTGTGTCAGTTTATATCTAATCATTTAAATTTCCAAACAAAAGACTCTTGAAATTGCTGTCACAGATGGAGTAAGAAAGTGCTGTGACAATTATTTGAACATAACCATTGACGGCAGAACTGCGGCATGCTTTCCAATTGTAATACGGAATTCTGTGATCAACTAGATATATGTGTCAGATTTGGAGTACCTTGTCCATTAATGCAATGTTCCTTATTCTTCCTGTTTTCTGAATTGGAAAGAACTAACTGGAAAACCTCAAATTCGCAATACCTAAGTAAGTTTAGGTAGTTTTACATACATAGTGAATCATCTGCACCCTCAATGATTTCTTTTTTGTTGTTGTTTTTTTAAATGCTGTGCCTTGGACTGTACTGAAAGCAAAATTCCTGTTTTCCCATTCTTTGAAATTGAAAAATACCTAGGTCAAACTATGCGGAATAATCTAGAGGTAAATGTTCCTCCACTAAATCCAGCTATGAAGGATCTTGATTCAGTGCAATTCTTGCTGTTTCACTAGAGAAAGAGTTTGGATTGCTAAGACACAGGCAGAAAGGTTACAAAATTTGCGTGCTGAAGAGATGCTGTGCACAGAAATGCCAAAGCTGCAAAACATGAGGAGGCAGCAATTTCTTAGCGATTAGCTGGTGAAGGTAATGCTGCTTTCCTCCATGGAAGGTCCCAGCTCACATACTGTTACTTCATGCTAGACTAAAGATTGGGAAGATTTCCTGGTTCCATTAAATTCAGTAGCAGAATTGGTATTATTTAATGGAGTTAGGTTCTCATTTTAAGCTCTAAGAAAGCTCAGTTTTGAAAATGAATGAAGGCAGTTGCACAAAGAATCACTTGTCATTAATGTTTTTATTTTTATTTCTTCAAAATTTACTGTACAATCCTGCAATTTCTTTTAAATTTTTTTTTAAATTATAAAAGGACTGTGCAGATACCAGTCAAATCCACTGGGGAGGACCAGGTGGGAGAAAAGAATTCCTCATTGCTTCTTAGCATAAGGTGGAAACAGCATATATGTCCTCAGAAGAAAGAGAATATAATTAATTGAAAATTTAGAGTAGGACAGCCCACACTTAAAATACACAAAATTGAAAAAAGTAATACTTAATCTGATTTAGTGTAGTTTTTTTACAAAGCCACAGTGCTTTAAAAATTAGAAAAATATTGTGTATATTGAGATGGTGGAAGGACATAGTACTGAATTTGAATTTGCAAGAATTCTGTATTTTCCCTCCAATGAGAGTAAGAGCAAAAATCTTTGTTAAAAAAAAACAAAACCAAAACCAAATATGTTAACACACATATTAGAGGTTAGCTTACTACTATTTTCAAGCATTAGTAAACTCTAAACAGAATGTTAATTGTGAAACGATCCCTTTAATTTCTACTAGGCTCAAGTGTGTGGACATTGTTTGGATGTTCTAAAATGTATTTTCTGGGAGGGTGGAAAAAACATTGGAAAGCTGAGGGTTCAAGATACGACAGTGTTCAACATTTTGAATCATAGTTGTTGCCATAATCTGTACCTGTACATAAACACATCAACTGTTGAAAATAGAATGCTGCTGAGATTTGCAGAAATAATTTTTTTATGATACTATAATTTAGAAGTTAAGTATCAAAATAAAACTTTTTTTTTTTTTTCAGTTTCTTTCATTGGGCTTTTCTTAGTAGTATAAGAAGACTTGGCTTAAGAGTGCAACTGTTTTATCCAAAATACTTTTAATGCAGTTGTGCACACCACACAAATAACCAGACTCTACATCTGGAACTACATCTGGAATATTTATACTCTACACCTGGAACTGAAAGACATATTTTGATGGGTGTTTAATATAGTCAAGCAACTGTAAGATACTTTTAATTTTCTAAAACTTCTGTATTGGACAGACTGGGTCTGACTTTTTTTTTTTTTTTTTAAATAAAACTGCCTTAATACGATTTTATGTAATTATTTTTCCTATATCCTCCTTGAAGGTCTCCTAGCAGTACATGGTTCTGCATGTCAAGTGAAACCTATCCACACCAACTACAAAACTATAATAACCTAGATTGGATTAATTTTGTCAAAGATGATGTGGTAATTACCTAAGATTTATATACTTTTTGTTTTCATCCAAGTGGATTTCAAAGCATTGTTCCAGTCAATGAACCCTGCAAACTGTAATTTCAGGGATAAGCCTTGAAACCACTGATATTCCTTACGTTGCTCAGGTAAATTAAGGTTTTTAAAATGGACTTTTGGTCTGGTACAATCAAACTTACAATGCTACAGGAACATCTGTAATGAGTCTGTAAAACTTATTATTGAAGACTTGAACTGCTTACTTAATATCAGATAGTTTGCATACACACTAGCTATGTTGAATTTACAGGATGTTTATAATGTTTATGCCTGTTGCCTTCCTTGGGCCTCTATCCCACAATTCCTAATTCTGCTTCTATCGCCAGGTAAATCAGAGACATTCTGAAGGGTCACTAAGCACGTGAATAGTTGCATTAGTAATTCAAAAGAGAATTTGATAAGTTACTTCTTTGTATCTGAAGTGGATTTCTTTGGGATGTGTTACCCATATGTATATTCTGCAGTCCTAATCTCTGTATCCTCTGCCTTGGAGCCGTGTACATGAGGGACTGTGGTTGAAAGAAAATGGAAAGAAGGTGTTGCTCTAGTTTCTGTACCTTCAGCTTAAAACATGAGAACCTTCAGGATTCTTTCCTGATATTTGGGAACTGTTGGCCAAAATTCTTACGCCTTGAGGATGTGAAAAGATATGCTTCGGTATGAGGATGTGCATATGGATAATACATCTCAAAAAACTCAAGGAAGTAAGCTCTCATTTTTCTTTCTTGTATTTAAATATTGTGGTGACTTGATACTGAAACCCTCCACCAAAAAAAAAAAAAACCACCCCACCACCCAACAACAAACACTTCCTATGTTATAGTGAAAAACGTCCACTGCACACAATGTGTGCAGTCAAAGTGTAACTGGTCAGACCCGAATTATTTCTAAAAGGTCAGAAGTTAAAGGCTATGCTAGAGATCAGCTGAAGGAATTTTCCCTCTATCTGCTATGAATTATTTTATTTTGCTTGCTATCATCTGTTGCTGTTTCTCAGACTCATAAAAAACAGAACAATGGTCAATTTCTGTCTTTATAACAGGACACAGTTTGATTCTTTATTCTCTTAGAACTGATTTAATAAAGTCTGATTTACCTATAATGTTAATTTTTATGGGCAGCTGCACTGTTGACAATGATTTCATATTTATAGCAGTCCATGGAAAAAGTAGATTGGTCATATTGTCCTGTTCACAAAAAGCAGAGGAAAAGGACATGTCGGTGTCAGATGTCACCTAGATGATCAGAAATTGAAGTGCTTGTCCATACCTACCTCAATGCTAAAAGCTCAGTTCTTGGTGATTTTGGTGTTTTACTCCGATGCAGATACTTAGGGAAGGCTGGGAGTTGGAAAACGCTAACGTGAAGGATGCTGGGAGGGGTGGTGGTGGGGTGAAGTTTAGTTATATACAATTAGATACAATAGTTTGTAATAAACTATTAATAGACATAATAGTTACAATAGTAAACATCAGTGCAAGAAGAAATTAACATCTGGAGAATTTTCTTCATTGACTAATAGAAGTCTAATAAAGACTAATAAAAAGACTTCATTTGTAATGGATAGGGAGCTGTAACATTCAAGGCTGATTTACCACAGAAATCAAACTACCTTTTTTCCAGACTCTGCTGGTAGGTTCATAGACCTTCACAACAGATGGAAGATTGAACTAGCGTGAGTGAGTGTATGGAATGCCGTCCTGTTGGGCTGCTGGTTTAGCTGGAATTCTAACTATTTAGCTGCTATTGGTGTGCAAAAAGATCTGCTTGGAGAGAGGCAGTCTTGTTGATTATATGAGTCAGGTAAATTTATTTCATAATAAGCTGTCGAATAGGTATTTTTGGCTCCACAGGGGAAGTATGCATCTGCGGTTTCACGTAATTGTAAATGCTGTAACACATGTATGCTCCCTGTGCAAATTCTGTATTAACCCTTTGACTGTAAATTGACATCAAATTGTTTTCATAACTTGCTCTGAATTTCTGTAATAACCAACCATGTTTGTGATGAGATTTTACTCAACCAAAAATATTTGGCTATTGCTAATAATAATAATAACATAATTTCCTAGGGAATATTTCATTTCTTACTAATAGACACGGAACCCAAGATTATACAAAGGGCCTGGGAGTCTGATACAGTGTTTTTCCCATATCAGAGTAAAGCAACCTTTGGAGGCTACACTCTGCCTTTTATTGGAATATTGACTATTGCCAACAACCACAGATCAAGAGTTCTTTATTACTTTTGACAGTACACTAAAAATACAGATCAAAACTAAAAATAGAAGTCACCTCTTCCATGGCTGAGAAAATTTTATTTCTAACCCAATTACAGAGGATTTAACTTGTCAAAAGACTGGATGCCTAGCATAGCAAAAGGGAAAATTAA